CGCGATAAAAATGATTCACGCGATCGCAGATTCAATATCTCGAGAAGTCGACGAGTCATCGTCGCCGCGGAAATCCCGCAGTTCTCCGCCTCTCGAAAATTCATAGATTCCGGCGAGCCGACCGTCTGTGCCGTCGCTGCTGCTGGGCTTTACTTTTGCGAAAATCTTCGGCGCTTAAAACCCCCAGCTTCTCCGCGACGATCGATGCGCCGGATATCCACGGCCGATCTGCCGGCTTAAAAAGCGTCTACGTCTCGCCCGGTATCTCCGATACTCGACCTTGCGACTCCACGACGTCCTTTATTTTGCGACGCGCTGTTGGAAGTACGTTTGTCGTAATTACGAGAGATACTCGCGACCTCTGATCGATTTTCTTTCGATTTCATTCTTAACCCTTCGTTGGCGTATTTATTCTTTGTCGCTTAGTGTGTTGACACGCTAGTCCTGTGAGACTCCAAATGGAAATGTCAGTTCTGCATTAAGTCTTCAAAGGTCTTTTATTATTTCCCTCCTTCAAACTACCCAGAGCCCTTAAATCTAATAAATGTGCTTATTTACAATATATAAATATTATACAAATATTATAGTTTCGAATATTCAAAGATAAGTTTGAAAAATTTGTCACGTCATTCTTGAAACAGATAATTTTAGACATAAGAGAAGATGGTGTACCGATTTTACACAGAAAGAAAGTAAAAAATTGGCACGCTTTAAGAAAAGAATTACATTTATATGCGCAATAATGAAAGATTTAACAATTATCTGTTCTATGTATAGCAGCCGTAATTTCGTGGAAAATTAGAGAAGCGTCGGATAAAAATTGTCGGAAGAAAAACGTCGGTTTTTCGGTTCGAAGAATGCTGAGAATCTCGGAGCCACCTGTTCGCCCTGATGCGCTTCCTAGAAAAGATCGTGGCCGAAGTCAATTTCGGGAAAAGTTTCTCGCGTGGAACATTGGCGTTTAAGTAACGGTCACCCCCTGTAGTATACAGGAGAAATCGGTCAATTAGGAAAAGGGGTAGCACCAATCGTGACAAGCTTAGGAAGATGAGGTAGCTCAGCCTCCGCGCGGAGTGCGAATGTAAAAAGGCTCCAAGCGAGAACCTTTAACTTCCGTCTTAGGCTGTTAACACGTACGTTACCGACGTAACGATTGTTCAAGATTAAAGTTCTGTTTCTGTAAATCGTTTTATATTCTCACGAAGGTTTACGATCGAGATGTCGCAGCGGAAACATGCCACGGGAATTGTCGGGAAGCCGTTAAATTTAACCGATTAACCGACTATAATTTCGAAAGATCACAAAGTTGCATGAGAAATCGGGGCAGACTGCTGCCGGTCTCAAAGCCAGGCGGGAATAACTTACAATTAGAGTTCGCAACATGGGGGTTGCGACTTAAGATCGAGAGCGCTGAGGGCAAGTCTGTCGACTTGGGCGCAACTCAAACAAGCGAGGCGTAGTTTATCGGAGTTCAAATCGTAAGTGGAATAGGGTTGATCTTCGCTGTGACGAAACTTACGGGAGTTCGCTTGTCGGGCAGCATTAAGTAATCAATTTCGCCGTACAAGCGACGTCCTTCTTTGCGTCGATTGAGAAGCTTCTAATTAATTACTCAAACTTAACTGCTATACTCTCTCTCCTCCCCATCTCTCGCTCTCTCTTTTCCCTTCCTTCTTATCTTTTCACCGAATTGCAAAGCAATCCCTCGAAGTTTATCCGCTCGCGAAACGCACGAGCCTCCCTCTTTCTTTCTCTGTCATCATTTTCCGGTTATAATCGATCGCGCATTCGCGATTTATTCCGCTCGGTCCGTGAAATTTTCACATCGGCCGGATCGATCGTACGCCGGCACGCCTCGAACTTTAATCATTCCGAAACATCCCGCCGAGTAAACGAGTTGAATCGAAGAGAAGACCACGAGGAGCCGATTCGGTCGCAGGGCGCCTTTTTACATTGAATTATTACGCGAGCGCGAGCATGCCTTTGTCCGATCATAGCTCTCCGGAGAACCTCGGGTAGCTCGAGCAGAAATCGCACGATTCGATAACGAGTGCGATTTCATTTCTCATCCCGACATTCGTCAATCTGTTATTCTACGATATTATCGAAATCGGTCGATCGGGGAGAGAGAGAGAGAGAGCAACCGAGAGCGCGCTCTCTTTCCGTAATCGCCACGGATGTAACTCAACGAAACAGAATGTGCAGCGGAAAAGTTGCACTGAAGAAAGAGAGAGAAGAGAGTCAATTATGTCAGTTTTTCTGCTTTTCCTCTATATATATTCCTTTTTCCTCTTCTCATATCAAGCCACACGCACGGCTACCAGCCGGAAGATCCTTCGCTTCCCCTCGCGAATTCGCGCACGAAACACCAGTAATTCGTCACACATATACACACACACACACACACACATACCGAGTGGCAACCGGTCGAAACGTACGAAGTGCGGGGGGAGGCAGCATCTGCCGTTGATTAATTCATTAATCTGCTTTCATACGCCGAACCCATCTCGCGCCGTGGCGGAATTTCGAGGTTCAATTTAGTAGCTGAACTTCCGCAGGTGGTGTGTATACGCCGTGGTCGGGCATAAGAGCGGAGAAACGGACGACGGGAGAACCGGCGAGGGATCGCAGGGAACGGCCTGGGAAACGGAAGAGACGGAGGGGTGGGCGGACGGGCGTATCGTCATTTGTTGGCTCGTAACATTACGGCGCAAATGGCTTTGGAAAGCCGAGACGTGTGGGGGCGCCGATGAAACGAAATTAGGGGACAGAGCGTCGATGCGCGGGAGGAAGCGCCCTTACGTGCAACGGCCGTAAGAAAAGGGAGACGTGCGCGAAAGAGAACGGGAATGGCGCGAGGGAGGAGGGTAGCGCGGAACCTCGCCGCCGAGAGGGATCTTCCACCGACAAGTCCGGCCTCGGGAGGCGCATCGTCGACAAATTTAGGCGGACGATGGTAGTACGTGTCAGCACGATTTCACGATCCCTCCTAGAGAGCCCTACTCCGTGTCTCTATCTCTTCATCTTCCTTTTCCCCTCCTCCCTCCTCGCTCTCTCACTCCTTTTTTCTTTATTTCACCCTGATTTGCAAGTTTCTTTCTTTTTTCTTCGACCCAGCCGGTCGTCGTTCTTGACGCCCGTTTGCAAGCTCTGAAGGATGAAGCGAAGCGCGTTGTTGCTCGTTAGGCTGTAGACAGATAGATGGTGATTGATTCGCGATCCCAAGACCAGTGTATTCCCCTCGTCCTGGTAGACGTTACAGGATTGACTGATTAATAAGACCGACTGTCGGATGGCGGTCCCTGCGACAGTCCCGTTCCCTCGTCTCTTCGAGGCGGTTTAATCCTGCCGAAGGTGGTATACGTGTCCTTCCTTAAAGTTAGACGTGATGATGGATTGTCCGCACGAAGCCGCGCTGTTCGTGTATGTGCAGCCAAAATACATGCAGCCCGAGATTGCCACCCGGCGGATTCAGGTGTCTGCGAAATTTCGACCACCGCACAGAAGAAAAGTGTTAACAATGAAGTAAACATAATTATCCATTTTTCAGCCTCTTAAGTCACTAATATTTTTGTCAATTAAATATATTTTAATTATAGTTTATGACAAACACACTAGCTTGATCGCAATAATACCTTAATTTGTAATGAATTATTGTAACGAATGAAATATCATATTGTGTATAGAATTATATTTCTGCTTCTAGTAAATATTTGCCAAGGAGTATTGGAGTAACCATATTTTAGTTGGATCAAGTAAATATTACTGGAACGATAGAATTTTTTCCGTTCGCCCGAATAACCGGATATTTTTGTTACGTGAATCTTCTGCACGTAACAACGGTCGGATTAGCCGCCGCACTCCGTTAAAGGGTTAAATAAATAACGCTCGTCGGCCGGGAGCCCCAAATACCATTCCGCACACTTGGAGCTTCATTATCGGACGACCCCGACGTTCGACTGTTTTTCGACGATAACTTTTCGCCCGCACCGCTCCATCCGATTCATAATAACGTTTCAATTATTGAGCCAGATCCGGTAATTAAGGTCAGCCTAGCCGTGAATTTTCGACGAGAGCGACGCGAACACGAGAAATGAAAATCACCAACATCCCGCTTTCGCTCGATTCTTCGACTTGTGACCTGACCCGACCCGACCCGAATCTCAGGATCTCGAGGTCGTCGTCGTCGGCGGGAGAGCCCGCACCTCCTCCCGACCCCGTGGAACAACGACGCGCCGATTTTTCCGCGAGACAAAGGGCGAAGGGCGTGCCAACGAGAACGCAGGCAGAAAGTCAACGCGTTCGGCGAGGGGTCGAAAAATTTAACATCATGACTCCTACCGTCGGCAATATCCAGGGTTCCAAAGATTCGGGCGACGAAGGAGGGGCCTGCGGGGAGGAAGGGGAGGATGAGAAGGGCGGAGGCGTACGCGCATTTCCATATATAAACGGAAGGATTCAGTTGAGTCCTCCCACTCCCTCCCTCTCTCTCTCTCTCTCTCTCCCGGGTACTGGTTAAACGCCAATGTATTCGTGGATGATACGTTCGTGTGTTTATGTGTGTGTGTGTGTGTGTGTACGCCATTTATGCCGCAGGAACGACGCAACGTAGTCAGCAATTTGGGCTATCCGCTTTTACTCTTCGCGAGGATACCGTATCTAACGCGCGATATGCCGCCGCTGCTCTCTCTCTCTCTCTCTTTCTCTCTCTATCCGTAATCATACGCGCGCCTGGTTACACGTCCGAATCTGCATTACTATGGACAGACGCATGGACGAACGTGTCGACCCGCGGCTATGAATAGGGGCATCACTCCCACTTCGAAACTCGTAGGCGAAAGAACGGACGTGATCTCGCGCGCGTACGGAAATATGGAAAACGCGCGCGGAAACGAGGCTTTCAGGGGCGTGACGCGCGATCGGGATACGCGACCAAAATTACTGTTTTCCGTGTGAATTTAATTGAAAAGGCCTAAAAATCTTTCTTCGATATTTTTCAGATTGGAGCACCGACACATCTGGTATGTACAACCTGCCGTACTTCTGTATCAGGTAACACGTGAATATTTGCGTTAACTGACGTCTGGAGATGTCAATTTTGGAAACTTATCTTTTCAACGATTTCCTCGCATATCGGAGCAATGCCTCCAGTTCATTTTCGCGCGTACTTTGTGTAAGAGCATTATTTATATAATTCTATGCAGTGAATGTGACGCAAACTTCGCAGGAAAAAAAAAGTCGGTATTTTGCCGGCAAAGTTTTCAGGAATGGCATCTCCATGAAAAGACGAAACAAATGAAAAGAAAAACAAAACAGCTGGTCGACGCTCACTCTCTCGCGGCGTCGTATTCACAGCCGGCTGTAATGACGCGACCATCCGCGGCTCTCCCTTCGCTCCCGGATACGCTCCTTCCAGCGATGTATTGAATAATATCGAGGAGATACGTAATGTTCTCTCTGGCCGTTCTCCGCACGCAGCGGAACCGTTATCTGTAACACGCCAGTCAGCGAATAAACACAATAATGCATACGTCGCCATCGGCCGTGCGCTTGCAATCGCGCACACGTGCGGTCGTACGTGTGCGTGAATGCGTGCGCGCGCGATAGGCAAGATGCGCACCTGCAGTGGGCTCTCGCGCGGATGCAGGTGCGCTAATTAAACGATAAGCCACGATAAGCTCGCACGGCCGAGTCTTAATCGATATCGCGTAGCTTTCGTTTCGGTACCGCCGGCCGATTTTACCGCACTCTCATATTGATTTATAGCCACATTATCCTGCGGAAAACGTAGAGAAAGAAAACTACGAAACGTTATCACGTCTTTATGGCGTGTGTTTTTTTTTTAACGGAACACTAAATTGGAGAGCTGCTCTCTCTCTTTCTCTCTTAATTCGCCATGTCGAATTACATAATTCTCGATGGAACACGCGTCCTCCAGTTGAATTTCCGGCAACGAAATGATTATATTAAACCCTCGAATGCAACTGACAAGCGCGGTTATTACGTGTCTGCGTACTGAAAATGTCCAATTTCAAGCGAGCGTACTTGTTTTTCACACAAAGAGCCAAAATTAGTTTCTAGGTGGATCGTTTTACTACGGAGAGGATTTTGTGCGCTATTCTTTATCACGAAGCTGATACATAACAGAAAACAACTTCATACGATTTCTTTGTAAAATAGTGACTGTAAAACTGTCTATATCTGTCAAGCACATTGCATCCGTGTTATATACATCGCTCTCGACGAGAGATCTTAGAATTATGCACGATCATTCCAGAATATCGTGCCATTGTTTGCTAATTCGGCAGTGCGACGAGCGCCGCGAGGTCAAACGCGCGCGCGACACGCACGCCCGCTATCGCTGAAGCGCGCGCGGCACTCGCGCTTGCGATGTCGGCCGGTGCACTAATTAACGGATAAACCTCCGATAACGCCAGGCGGCTTGCTTGACGGCGCATTCATGCTCGCCTGACGTGCATTCGATTTTGCGGTCCTGAGCCGCCTTGCACGCCCCGCGCGTGCTAATATCCGACTGTGCTTCCGTAACCGCTTATCGTCGCCCCGGCGATTATTAATTATCGGCAAGGCTCATTATCGTCGGCACGACGCCGTTCGCACGCAAAATTCTCGCCGGGCTGCGCGAGGCAGCCGTCGGACCTGCGTTTTCGGTAATTGATAAGCCACGAGCGCTCGATAATGTCCCCTCCCCCGTAACGTGACGTTAGGAAATTCCCGCACTCATTAGGAGAACGCGGAGGGCGACGATGTAATTATCCGGCCGAGTCATAATTAGTAATAAATCCCGACACCTTGTGTGTGTATCGCCCGACAACGGCGGCGGCGACCGAGCGTGACGGGCCCGACGACGACGGTCCGCAGTAGTGAAGGTCGATTTATCGTCGGCCTTGAAGGAACACGCCCGTTAAGCGACGGCTTGCTCCACGTTCGCCGCGAACGAGATGGCCAAACTTGAAATAACAAACAAAGCGATAAATAATTTATTAGACGAACTTATTTTATTTTAGTTAAAACTTTGAAATTTTTCATCACTTTGAATCTTGCGCTAATCTCTATCGTCTGTCGCTGAGCCACGTAAGAAAGATTAGGATTAGGTTATTCCGTGAATCGATAATATGTAATTAAAAAAAAAAAACAGTATATTTTAATGAAGATATACCGCAACTTTGCATCCGTGCATATAAATTTTAATTCTACCTTCAACAAGGTTTTAGATGCTAAAACAAAATGGTATATCGATCCCTGATACTTTTTTTTTTTATCGTCTCCCGACGGACGGCGCGAGACGCATTCCGGAATAATATGACGCGATTAGGCGACTGAATAAATTATCGGACCGGTAATTGCGTATCGGATCGGTAATTAAAATACTTCACACCGCATTCCTAGGCATATGAAATAACACACACGTGACAAAGAAAAGCGTAGATCACGCACCAGTTTCCCGTGACCGCGTCGGGCGATTTTTATTCAAATCAGACGAAACGCTTGAAATTTAGCAGTTATCCCCGTCCTAAATCCATTCCGCCGCGTACGTATGGCCGATCTATCGGGGAAACGTATGGCGCGGATTGGGTTTCATATATCTAACTTTTCCCCCCGTGGCTCGCGCTTATACGCGGGCTTTACGTGTCTCGAGCGCGACTCGTGTTGCCCTCCCTCCGTCGGATTCGTACATAGCGGCGATTTAACGCCACGCCGTCGCAGCGAAAATCGCCTCCTTTACGGCGCAGACCGCGAATAATAAACAGCCGTGGCCCGTGAGGCAGCCGTTTTGCAACTGAAATACACGGCAGCGTCCGGATCATCCGCTTTTGGCTGCAACGGCTTTCTATAGAAGTAGCCAAACGGCAGCTTAACCCTGAGAGTAACACCCGCGATCTTGAAACCGAAGTAAGATAGTGGCAGTATAACAAGTAACATCTCACGGTTCTCTCAGACTTACGTCACGAAATAAATGGTAAAAAGCGTGGTTCCTGCATTTCTTTTTCGATCTCATGAATGTTATTTACATTTATTAAGTTTATTAGCAATTTTTATTTATTACCCTTGCAGACTGGCTGCCGCCAAGAAACCGGTTATCTCACTGGATCGGCCTGATAATATACGGAAAAAAATTAGTATGAAGGCAAGATTCATATTCTCATATATAAGCAAAAATATATATAATCTCGCATAAAGATCAAAATTGCTTTCGCATGAAAAAAATTCTACATAGTTATAATTATTATATAGTTATTATTATAATTATTATAATTATTATATAGTTATTATTCTCGATTTTTTTTGCGTAAGAAGAATAGAAATGAGATATAGCGTGTTACACGAAAGAAGCGAGAGAAAACGCGTGCAGGTTTCATAGGCCTAACGTATTACCGTCGGGATTAACACTCGACACAGCGTTATCGGTGGGATTATATTTTATTCCGCGAGCGTGCAGCCCTCCCCCCCCTCATTCGCGACTCACATCGAGTTGAAGGAATTCGGACGAATTCTCTCGCAAACGTGGAAAGAAAATCTTCCTCGTGACGACTGGCGGGCCCCGCGTCGGAAGTTCCTCCCGTGACAAAAGCAGGAATCGCCGAATGGAACGGATACGTCCGCGGAATAAGTTATTACGCTCTTTGCGGCGCTGCATTTTTACGTCGCGTCGTAACCGAGGGAGATTCGCCACCGACACGACCGAGCCTCGTCTTTATTACGTTAAGTTGTACACTCCATCGACGGCGTGTTAAATTAACCCCGCGCGAAATAGAAACAGCAGGCTTATTAATTTTGGATCATGGCGCGAGCGAGCCGGGTCTCTCGGGTGTAATTTATATCTAAGAATTTACACCGCCGTAATTCCAAACGCTATGGGAAAATTGCGGCACCCGCATATTCCGTCGAAACCATGCTATATTAAAGGCAAATATTATACGTGTATATAGATTTTAATACGCGATCCTGAATGTCTCTTATGGGTGGCCCCCGGTATCTTGAGAATTTACGAGATTCGAGTCAAAATTTTGATTTTGCATTAATTCTACGTTGAACTTGAAAAAGCCGGTAGGAAATTTTGAAGTATAACGCTATACCGGCTGTAAACTAATAGAATACAATAATTATTCTCATGCAAAGCTACAGATTTAGAAAATGTATGTTTTCTCATGTGGAAAAAATTTTTCTTAGAAAAATATGTACATTAATATAAGTAAATACGTAATTATTACCTGAATTAGTACCTGAATAAACATTTTTTTTTACTTTTCAGAGATTTTTCTCTCAGCGTACTTACGGTCATTTTATCGAGACTTGAAGAAGAAAAACTATTTAATATCCAATTATCTCAACAGTCTAGCCAGATTTAATTTGTTTTAATTATTAATTTTTTCATTAACACTTTAATGGCCGCTCACACAACATGTGTGTGATAGCCGGAACAACTGTTATTGTCCGCTCACACAACATGTGTGTGATGCTACCGCCGAAGATTATTGGCCAGTACCACACTCTCTGTGTGATGATTTATGAATGTAAACAAGTTATTTTATGAATGTAAACAACAAATTTTAATAAAGTTTTTTTTAATTAATTCTTCAAAAATATTGCCGGCCCCTGGCGACGTTTGACTGCATAGACGTGTGGCCATTAAAGTGTTAATACGCTGACGTGTGTAACGATTGCCGCTCCAACGAAATATCAGCGTGGATTGATCCCATTTCGAGTTTTTTTTTTTTGGCGAACATCAGACCGGTCGATACAGACGGGGAATTCTGTCCCGAGGGGATCGATCGCGCAATCGAAGCTGACTGCATTAGTTGGTAATTTTCTGACTTGATTTAACCGAGTTCCGCGCCTGCCGCCGATGTAAATTTCACGGCTCCCCGGCGTTTCGCGTCTCATAAATAAAAATGATGCTGTCACTTTCGCACAGACGGCCGGTAAATCAAAAATTATCGCGTAGGACATTTATAGCCACCGGAAGAGCCCGAATACGGCAGCCGCAACAACCGGTTTGCGC